ACGACCCTAAAAAAATATCAAATTTTGGAGTGTCTCCGAAATTTCTCCAAAATTTGATCTCATTTTCCGAGAGAAAAATCCAATATTGTGGAATAAACCACCCACTTTTATGCTGCGAAATAAGAACACATCGGCCAGAATTCCAATTGTAGATGGCAACTGAAATGTTTTTCAATTGAAATGGTTGTCTTGAAATGGTTATAATGCTTATATGAATGGTTATATCGATCCTCCGTACCCGTGTCGTTATCGGAAAGCTGACCACCTGCGAGAGTTTATCATTCGATACAAAAAATAACACCATACCAATGCTCCACAGAATGCCGTAGGCCACTGACGGCAAAACCTGAACACACATATTTTATAGATCTTTAATAATATCCGCCGACCTTAGAACATTCAAAATAATAAATCAAAATTGCTACTGACCAATTCGGGGGCTGCATAGGGGCGATTCCGTTTATAAATCGAATACAAGATGAAATAAAGTGTTGAGAATGCGAATATTGTTGAGAAATGTGCGAACATGAAGTCAAGAACTGAAATTTTTTTTTCAAATTAAGCAGAAGAAATTGTTCATTTAAATGGAANTTGAAGGGTGCAAAATAAAATTCTGATCTCTGAAATCCGAAAGATTGAAAGCGGAAGGGAAGGAAGTGAAAATGACCATTTTTCGACGCGTGCGGATCCGTGTCCATTATATAGACCACTGGAGTCATCATCAGTCCATGTAAAACGCCCATAAAAACAGCCAAACCCATTAATCTGAATTTTTTTTCACCTCAACAAAACATCCACAAACGGTAATCACAACCTTAAGCCTTAATCACAACATTGACGAAAATTTCAAAATTTTCAACTTTCCGCAATGGAAACGGAAATTCCGAGCAACTGACACGAGTTTTTTCGTGGTGATTTGCTGGTGGAATATGGCGTATCGTCGAGTATCGTGCGACTGCCCGTGCCCTTGCACACGCGATTCAGTGATCGCCAGATTGGTGTTATTTTGTCGGGCAGAAACTTGATGTTGCCTATCGTCGTTCCGCAGTTCGGCATCCGACTTGTCTGTAGCGCTATCACTACCATCCGATTCCATCTCGGTGCTTTCTGTTGCTGTGATGGCGGCGGCGTTATCTGCAGCAGCAGCAGTTCGTCCAGAATCCTCGTGTTTGACCAGGAAAAATATGACTCCACTGAAATTTTTTATTCAATGAATTTGGCAGCAAAATTTTGAGAATTTTCCGCAATTTCAGGTTAAACTTCAAAAAATTTTTAAAAGTTTTGATCTGATTTGACCTGATCAGTGTAAGCACCAGGCCAGTGATATTCATGGCGTTATTGTAGACCGGTTGAGCTCTGGTACCGAACAGGCCAAAACGCGCTACACACCAGCCGACCGTAACCTTGAAAAACTCGCAACTTTTAACTTCAATCACTTAATTAATCACTTAGTTAATTAATTAACTACTTAACTACTTCGACGTCTATCGTTAATTTCAACTCACCTGAACTGAACCCCAAATGAACATCCCTAGACCAATGCCTAGGCCGTTGACCAATGGAACTGAGGCCACATTCCCTAAAAAATACAATAAAGTTGCTGAATTGCTTCAGAGGCCATGAGGCCGACTGGAGACCTCTAAGAGACTGATCCTTTCATGAGGCTTATTAGTTTCACACCTGTAGCGAATAGAACGCCGCCAATGGTGGCGATCGGATTAAACGGTGGAAAATCACGAGCAAAGTTGATCCAGAAGCCGACGAAAAACACCACAGCGCACTGAATCCACTGCACGAAAAAACCTGAAATTCATTGAATCACTGAAAAAAAATTTTTCAAAAAATTTTTTCCTTTAATTTCAGGTTTTTTTTAAATTTGTTTGCGTAAAATCCCTATGGAATTCATACAATAACCACTCGCTAAGCTTACCATCTTTGGTATCGAATCGTTTCAGTGGGGCGAACATGAAACCGAACGCAACACACGAGACGATCGCAGACGCGAAACCAACTAGATTCACACTACTACTGCTCATCGCTGTTACGGCTTGGCTTAAAAAATTATTTCACTCCTAAAAGTTTAGCTTAAAATTTTAAATTACGTGAAGTTGACCTGAAATTGGCTTCAACCATTCGGAAATTGCTGCTGCAGCTAAAAAAAATGGCTGCAAAGCTGCAAAAATTTATCACGACGATTTGTCATTACGGCTGATTTTGCAGTAGTTTAATTTGCAGCAATCCGTTTACATCCATCACGCAATATGTCAATCAATTCACAAAAATATCCTACAATATATATCCATATATCAAAATATCCAATCACAACAACAAACCAAATCACACCGGCCACTTCATATAACAATGCTAAAAATGACAATAATAATGTAGGATTAGGGTAAGATTATCACCGCAATTCCAATGTCACTATGATCTATACTCTTTGCTCAGCTTAATTCTGCCCTATGCACAGCTGAAAACATTGATCATCATATACTAATATTGATTGATCACGAATCGATCACGTGATCAGATCGATCAGTATGATTCCAGTAGTTGTAGTAGTGTAAACAGCAGCCTGCAATGATTGATTGACATATTGCCTGATCAATCGCATGTTGTTGATCAAGCAGACTTTGATCGATCAGGCAGGCAGGCACACACAGGCAGGCACTTTCTTAAATGTCTATCATGTGACAGGCAAATCGAACTTACCCATCAACCATACCGATTAATAACACATCGTTTTATTATTAATATTATTATTATTTTTGGTATTAATATTATTATAACTGATATAATTATTATTATTATTATTATCACAATCACATGAAAAAAGATAGGAGAGAGGAAGCATAGAGCATAAAATTATTCAAATGGCGTGATCAAATACTAACTGATAACTGATAACTAAAGTAACTGATAACGGCAGTAATCACGAATGATAAGAGTTATTCACACCAATTTATATGATATACTGAATTGTTTTTAGTGAGAAATGATGACTACATTGTTATTATTATTATTTTGAAAAATGCTCATTATTATTATTATTATTATTATTATTATTATTCCCTTATGAAACCGGTTCGACGGCTGTCAGCATTTTCATTTTTCGTATCCAAAAACGGCCGATTCCACATGAATTGGCTGATGTTTCCACAAAAATTTTTCAATTGAATATTTCACAAAACTTTTCCATATGACCATATCATTAGATTTCTGATTATAGAAATTTTCATCTACAAAAACAAAAAAGTAATGCCTCCTCAGCTCTTTCTATCTCTATATAAACGAGGACCGCGCATGGATATAACTGCTCAGATTTGATTTCATTTCACACTGCATTTTACACTGATTTTAAGCTTTAGGCTTGGCCAAGCAGCAGCCTAGAGTCTAGAGTTCCACGTTGGATAGAGCCAATAGAATGTCGCCGGTTAGACCAACTGAGATCGCGAACAGCAGGAAGCTTATATTTCTGGCACCCTGAAATGGTAGAAATTTTTACAGGAGCATAAAAAATGGGAATAATAACAAAAACGGGAAAAAATTTCCAAAATTTCCACAGAGCCAATAAAAAATTCTCAAGAAAGGGATAATCCCTTCGGGGATTTGAATAACTCACTCGAATTGTCTTGAAAATGAACACATCAATGAGTACACCAATCGAGGATGGTAACTGCAAACAATATCGATTCAGTGTTGAACCACCTCCTATGTGATCACCAAATAAAAATCAATCAATCAATAATCGAACTTATTGATCAGTAATTCAACATAACACGTACTCTTGACGTGATTGGGAAGCTGACCACTTGTGAGAGAAGTTTATTGGAAACAAAAAAGAGTACCATGCCGAAACTCCACAAAAATCCATAGATAGCCGACGGGAGAACCTGAAATTAAAAAAATTCGACCTGAAATTATTGAGGTACCCGAAAAAACTGCCCCAAAATCACTCGGTTGCCTCAAAATTCGCCTAATATATCGCCAGCTTACCAGCTCAGGTGGTGCATGCGGCCGATTCCTTTTGTATAAACAGTATGCAAAGTAGTAGAGTGTCGAGAAGCCGAATATACTCGAATAATGTGCGAACATATAGTCCAATACTGCAAAAAACATTTTAAAATTTTTAAAAATTTTCATTTTCTCCAACTTTGTTTAAAATTTCTAAAATTTTCTAACGGATTTTCCAAAAAAACTGAAAAATTAGAGTGGCTTTTGCTTCAATTTAGCAGCAGTAGCACAAACCATTTGGGGATGCACCCGGTACATTCTCGATAATGTAAGTGACCGGAGTCATCATAAAGCCGTGCAGAACACCAATGAAGACAGCCAAGAAAACGTAACTGAAACATGCGAAAAAATATGAAAGAAATTTTTCTTTTTCAGCGGAAAATTTTCAGCGGACTTTTGGAAATTCCCCCTTGGAACAGCTTGAATTTTTTTCCAGAAAATGCAATTTTCTACCATTCATACGATTCCATTTCAAGATTTCAGAGCACAAATCAGTAATTGATCAGTAGTGATCAGTAATTGAACTTATTGATTGATCAGTTTATCGACTGATCAGTCAGCACCTGCTTTAATTTTAGTGCCTCAAGTTGTTCAGTTCACTTTAGCAACAATTACATTCAAATTTCTAATGAACAATTGAGACTTCCCTAAACATGTCCCATGTGGTCTAGTGGCTAGGATTCGTGGCTTTCACCCACGCGGCCCGGGTTCGATTCCCGGCATGGGAATTTCCATTTTTGCGCAAATTTTTTTTCGTCTAATTTTCTCAGCAACGAAAATTCGCGGCTTACAAGAGCTTTTTGCAGATCCATCGGTGGTTTGCACGGAGATTTTTCGTGGAGAAGGGATTCGGATCGGATTTGACGTACTGCAAAACGTCCTTCTTCTGGTCTTCGTGTTCTACGAACATGAACATTACACTACTGAAATTCACTGTAATTCAGAGTAAATTCATCGTAATCGGTGGAAAATTTCGGAAATTTTGGAGACTTCAACCGGAAATTTAAACCAGAAAATTTGCTTCCCGGTCAGATTCAGTCTCGGCTAAATTTGACTCAGATTTCAGATGAAAATCATCTCAAATCAGCTCCAAAAAAAGCGCTTTCGTGTTGAAATTTCGCCTGATGGACTCGACTCGCCTGATTAGCACTAGAATCAGTCCGCTAACATTCATTTTTTCATTGACAACTCGTTGAGGTACGGTATGGAAGAGGCCAAAGCGACCGGCTGACCAGCCTCCGATCACCTGAAAAATGATTTTGCGCCTCAAAATTTCTCAAAATTCCAAAATCATCAGTTCAAAATTTGACTGATTCATCTCAAAGCTTTCAAAGGATTTGATTTGATCAGATTGGATCAATTTTACGATCAATTTGGATCAAATCGGGTCAAATTCAATAGCGTAGCGGAATGTTAGCACAGCTAATGTCCGTACCATAGTAGATCCCCAAATAAGCATGCCCGGAGCCATTCCTAGACCGTTAATCAGTGGCACTGCAGCAACATTCCCTGAAAATCAGCCTGATCAACAGCAAGTTTGATTTCCCAGGAAAGCGCTTGGGAAACGACCGACTACTTACCCGTCGCGAACAGGAAACCACCAATGATTGCGATCGGTTGAAACGGTGGAAAATTACGCACCACATTGATCACATAGCCGAACAGAAACACCACTGAGCACTCAACCCATTGTACGAAGAATCCTGCATGAGTTTTCCGGGTAATTCCAAGTTCAAGGTGTTTACCCAAAAAAATACCCGCTAATAATGTTAGACTTCCCAAAAAGATACCCATTACCAATGCTAGATCTCTATTAATCTCCTAAAATCGTTAGCTTAACTGCGTATATTTGAATCTGGGCGTATAATTTCATTGTATCAATATCAATTTCAGTGTTTTTCCTTCGAATCCCTTAAAAATTTCCAATACAAAATACCAAACTAATTATCTCGTGTTTGATAGGAGACACGAGATAATTAGCTACTGATAACGAGCCGAGTCACTGATAACGAGTCTCAAACAAGGCAGTTACGCCTTTATGGGATGTACTGCCTTACTGATAACATCGATAAAATGCAAGCAATACATCGACTACTGATAACAACTGATAATGGTGCTGATAAGAGCTGACTGATAATTTTATCACTCACTGCAAAGTTTCAGCAATAAAATAAGATTTCAGAGCATTACAAACCATCTCTGCTGTCAAATTTTCGTAGCGGCGTAAACATGACACCAAATGAAATGCATGATACAATACAGGTGATGAAACCGACGGCTTGGTCACTCATTGCTTTAGGTTGCGCTATGACCTGACCTCCTGAAGGTGGGAATTCTGTCCTGAAGTTTTTTTGAATTTGAAGTTTGAAAAATCTGAACATTTTAAGTTTATTCTAAAAAAAATAACTATTTCAAGCTGATTTCTAATCATTAGAAAACTTTCTGAAATATTTTGTTGATATGATTGGAAATCACGACGATAATAATTAACAATAATAATAATACTAATAATGTTAATTTATAATAGCTANGGGGGGGGGGGGGGGGGGGGGGGGGGACGGCAGACGCAAACGGCAAACCATTTGTGAGTGGAACATAAATTCAACGAATCAAGCAACTTCAAAACTTAGAAAATCAGCAGCAAAACGGCTTAGGCGTTGTTCTTCAAAAACAAAAATTTGTACAATTTAAGGAGCGTAACGTGGAACTCCACATTTCACGTCCGCGCTTATTTTAACATTGAAAAAAATTGCATTTGCAGAGCGAGTGGCTTTATAGCCGTAGCTGCGTGATAAGCAGAAAAATCTCTGAAGCAGTGATAATCTATCGCTGATAAACCTTTTATCAAGCAGCGAGTGATAAGCATCCAGCTACGCCTCTTTATCAATCGCCATATCAATTGCAATTAAAACTACTGCCAGTTTTATGGGACTAAGGGCAGGAAAATTTGGATTTTAGCACATTAAAATCTTAAACTTGTCAATGTCAATTGCCTGAAAATATGAATTTACCTGACTTGATCTACTTTG